TATAATAAAATAATAATATAAAATGTCAACAATATATTCGTGTAGAGGGAAAAAATTTTGCTCGTCAGTAGAGTTCCTTCTTTATTATTCTAGTTCAGAATTAAAGTTTGCTCGTCAGTAGAGTCCTTTTCATGTTTCAAGTCCAAATTTAATTTGCTCGTCATCAATCCTTTTTTTCTAACATTCTAAATCAAATTCAATGTTTACTCATGTTCTAGGTCGAAATATAATATGCCTGTTAGTAGAGTCCCTTTTTTCCATGAAATTGAAGTTTGCTTGTCAGTAGAGTCTTTTTCGGTTTCTAAGACGAAATTTAAATGTGCTCGTCAATTAATTAAATCTAAATTCCGTTTGATTGCCAGCAGAGTTCCATTCCAATTAATCAAAATTAAGTCTCAAAATAAAGATAAAATATAAAATGTTAAAAAAAGATTTGGGACAAAATTTGAAAATCGTTGACAGTACAAAGGGACTCTACTGAAGAGCAAATTAAATTACAAACGAGAAAATAAAAAAGGGACTGTACTGATGAGCAACCTATAATTTAGATCTAGAAGATGAGAAAAAAGTCATTACTAATAAACTACAAATATGAGAAAGTACTCTACTGACAACCAAACTTTAATTTTTACCTAGAAAATGTAAAAAGAACTCTACTGACAAGCAAATCAAAATTGGATTCAAGAAAAGGGACTCTACTGACGAGCAAATCAAAATTAGATTTGCGAAAAGGGACTCGACTAACTTAATATATGAGAAAAAAGGAGATTGGTTTCGTTCTAATCTCTACTCAATACCATAGTAAAAATATCTAAAAATGATCGAAGGTCTATAAAAATTAAGAAAATTGGTTCCAATAATTCAAAAAAAATCTTAATCGAAATTAAGTGAATTATTAGTTTCATTTATTAAACATGTGAGATAAAAATTATTCGATTGTGGTAGAAGGGTGAACATTTAGTATAATAAGGAACTGGAAGAAAAATATAAGGGAAACATTATTATGTTTATAAATAATTATTAGTGATAATTATATTTATAGTTTGGGTGGTCCTCAATACAGACCTTTTTGAATTTCTTTGCTCCTAAGGGCTCAAATGCTTCCAAATTAATAAAAGAAAAATCTCTAAAAGTTTAGCTCTTAATATTAACATTTAGATAGTCAGCAATTCAATTAAAAGTTTCGTATGTTTATTATTAACATATGTAATTAGGTAAATTCTTCCGCCAATTTTTTTTAATTGATTTGAAAGCATTTGAGCCCTTGGGAACAAGGACATTCGAAAATGTCCATATTAAGGACCACCCTATATCATAACATAAATAATATAATATATATATCTTATTACCTCTCGAGTTAGTGATGAAAACAATTCTTCGATTCCCTCATTCAATTTTGCAGACGTTTGAAAATGCTTAGCGCCTACTTGAGCTGCATAACTGAAATTATGAAAATGTAATATATTAATAATAATTAATATAAGAAATAAAAATCAGAAAACTATCTTAAATGCACAAAACAAAACAATCTACAAAAGGATTCTTAAGTGCTGAAAATCATTCAAGCATAAAAGACAAGTTTGGTGTATATTTTGAAGATTATGGAGGATTGCTTACTTACAACTTATATACATATACTTGTAATTAAATTTACCTTTCTGCTCTCTTCTACACTGACATTTCTATCTTGCTCCAAATCCAATTTGTTTCCTACAATCATCAATACGATTTCTGAGCCCAACATTTTTTTGAGCTCTTTAACCCAATTTTTCACCTAAAAAAAACAGATATAAAAACATATCCATATATATGAATATATATATATATATATATATATATATGTAAAAGCCCCTTACCTTTTGGAAAGAATCCTCATCAGTGATATCGTAAACCAAAAGTGCCCCGTTTGAAGCCCGGTAATAAATTGGTCCCAAAGCGTGAAACCTTTCTTGGCCTGCTGTATCCCATATGGCCAAATTAATTTGTTTATCATCTAATTTAAGTTTTTGTTAAAAATGAAGCCTGAAAAAGTAATAACAATAATCATATAGAAGGACATTTAAAGGTCACTTGAATAAAATTTAAATTATCCATTATTATACACAAATGTATGAGTTTGAGTATGAAGAATTATAATATATGTATCAATTTCTATTTATTACTTGTAATGTGGATAAATGTCTTTCATTAATTTGTCTTCAACATAACGCAAAACTAAAGAAGTCTTTCCAACACAGCCTTCGCCCAGTAAAACTACTTTAAAATTATAATTATTGTTTTGTGAAACGTTGCCATTTGCCATTTTTATTAAATAAATATAATACTCTTTAATTAATTACGTATGATTTATGTTTTGCAAGAATAACATTTTATTCAAGTGCTTTTGACAGCTGTCAGCTGTTTAGAGAGACAAACTTCATTGGTAATAGATGGCGGTAGGGGTATGGATTTGTAAAAAATAATGGATTTTTAAATATTTTTGATAATTTGTTTGATTAATAGTAAATAATATTAATATTTTCTTTAGTACTAATATTATTGTTTGAATTATGATGTAATTGATGTTTAATTTTAACTATATACGCGATAATTTAGCTTTTGTTATAGAAGTGTTTTCAACGCGTTTGAAAATGCCGCCAAAATTATGCTTGTGTTGATTTAAATTTGGATAAAAGATGGCGGAAAAGGTACTGGTTCGTGAAAAATTAAATATTCTGGATATTTTGTTGATTAATAGTAAGATATGAATATTTTTCATTAGTACTACTATTGTTTTTTAAATTATGATGTAATCGATATTTAGTTTCAACTGTATATGATATAATTTACGTTTTGTTATAAAAGTGTTTTCAACAAGTTTGAAAATGCCGCCAAAAAATTTCAAACCAAATTATGCTTGTGTTGATTTAAATTTAGATAAAAGATGGCGAAAAGGTACTGGTTTGTGAAAAATAATGTAAATTTTAAATATTCTGGATATTTTGTTGATTATTAATGAATAATGTTGATATTTTCATTAGTAAATAATATCACTGTTCATAATATGATGTAATTGATATTAAGTTTCAATTTAATACGCGATAATTTACGTTTTGTTAGAAAAGTGTTTTCAACAAGTTTGAAAATGCCGCCGAAACGTTTAAAAGAAAATTTGTGTGTTTTAATATAAATTTAAACAGATTCTTGAAATATAGAGTATTATTAGTGTTTGTATGTTTGTGTGAATTTATTTATAAAACTAACTAACTGCTTTACAACAAAATATAAAAAACTTATAAAATAAAATTAATTTTGACCAGTTGTTAAAACATTCTGCAAAATATATTTATTTGTATCATAAATTTAAACACATTGGTGAAATAAATCAATAATAATATAATAATCATACTAGTAATTATTGTATATAACAGATTTGATATAAATTAAAATAAACTTAAAATTTTACTCAATTCCACTTAAATCTTATTTAATTTAATATGAAATGTATTAATATTAAAATAATAGTATGTAAAACTCAAATGTATTTAAATACAGCATTCAATTTTACATAAATCATAATAATGTCATTTGTGAGTTGTAAAAACTTATGATGTTCATTTAAAAGTTTTATGAACACATTTTGAAAATGCCGCCAAAAATTTTCAAAGCCTTTTATATTTATTTTACAACTTCAAACCTAATTCGGTAATAAGTAATGCTAGCAGCATTTGTATATTTAAGTGTAAATTTATTTGTAAAAATGAGCGTTTAACATTATATATTAATTCATAACAATCTGAAAGAAACTAAAATTTGACAGTTGGGAAGCCATCTTGTTCAATATCGATATAATATATTTAACAAAAATAAAAAAAAGTGTTAATTATGAAATAGTATTGTTGGAAAGTTAAATGTAATGCAAATATAGCGTGTAGTGTTTCTAAAAAAGTTATAAACTAATATAGTGTTTACAATTTGTGTAAAAATACTTTTGACAGTAATTGATTTGACATGCCGCCATTTTAAGTGTTAATATCGATAAAACTTAAAGCATTTTTATTTTATTGTAATTTAAACAGTATTCAAGAGATTTATTTACAAATACGTATTTGTCCATAAAATTACTTTATAATTGCACTAACAAATTAATATTTACCACAAATTTTATTATCTATTTATTTACCACTTATCGATTTAACCCAAGTGACAACTTCAAGCAAGACGTCCATCTTAAATTTCGCCGCCGTCTGTCATCTGTGTGTGAACCAAACAAAACGGTAAGTCATTTTTATCTCAACTTTTTAATTAGTTTTAAGCACGTTTTATGCAATAATCAAACACGATTTTTGTGCACGAATATTCAGTAATGTCGTGGTGATATTTTTGAGTCGTTGTCAACGTAAATCGGCATTTATATCGGTGGAAAAAGACTTTCGAAAATCGGCGTCATTGGGGAATTGACACGGGGTTAAAATTATTTGGCGGCGGGATAATAGTAAGAATTGTATGAAATTTGTGAAAAAAGTTGATACATGGTTATCAATACGTGGTTTAGTTAAATTAGTTATGTTTATTAAATAAATTTGTGTAAATATCAATTATTTTGTTGTGCAAGTTGTACGTGTTTTAGGATTTTTTTGTGTAAGTACCAGAATACCATGTTTAATTGTACAATTAACCTCATCTATCAATTACAATTATCAATAACAATTTTTATGTCTATTATTATCGCCATGTTTGTGTTTGTCCCGCAATTTTTGGCTCCAACACGTCAATGGCGATATGTTATTTTTTTTTATTATTTTGTATGGAATGTGTATTGTGTTCCTCGATTTTGGGGTCTCCAAAAGACTCCACGATTGACATGATTTATTTGACATGAGTGTTTAACCTTGTATCTTGTGTCGATGTCAGCTGAAGACAACGTGCTTCTGTCATTTATTTGACAGAAAGAGGTTTGCTATAGAAAAAATTGGCTAGGTGAAAGTGGCATCGTGGATTAAGGCAAATTGCTCGAACTTCCCGTACCGAAAATTAAAATGTTTGAAAAAGCTTTAAAGTTTTTTTGATAAATTTGAAAAAATGAGATTTTTGTAAACTTTGAAATTTTTGAAAAAAATAGATTTTTTTGAAATTTTTGTTTTTTGGTTTTTCAATTTTTTTGAAATTTTAGATTTTTTTTAAAGCAATCATGCTGTGTAGCTTTTTTACAGAAAAAATATCAGAGCGCGTAAGCGCTGCGCCGCTGTCTTAACGATGAACATTGATACGGAACCCAAAAGAAATGTAAAAAAAAATTGTACCAGTTCCTAAAATATCTATAAAATATCTGATAATTTGATGTGCATATGTCTAATGATCATTTTTGAACGCCCAATTGCATTTGTTCTGCTATTTTTTGTTTGAAACTCCATAACCTGTAGACCTGCCTTCCCAAACCTTTAATCAATTCTTCATTTCGTCAATACAAATAAAATGTTTTTTGAATCATTCCAATCGGCTGCTCCGTTCTCTTAATAACTGAATTACCGTTTCTGACTTTTTTTGCCCCGTATCTTTGAAACGGCTAGACCTGCCTTTGCCAAAAACTAATCAGTACGTCATCTTTTAATTAAAAATCGAATGCTTTTTGAATTATTCAAATCGGTTGATCCGTGTTCCTTAAACCGTCGACGAAAAATTGTATCGGCACACACATACACATGTATCCATTTTTTCTATGTTAAGCCAAATTGTTCAGAAACTTCTGAAATGTAAAGATGTAAAAAAAAATTTCATTTTCGATTTTTTTGCGATTACTTTATCCTACGGGAAGTTAAATATTTTTGACCATATCAAATGGTGATTTATATATACATTTTATTTTATCTATATCATACTGCTTGATATCGAGCTGACCGAGGTTGGGATCGAATCCGGGAATGAATTGAGCTAACCCACATTTTTAGGTTTTATAATATAAAAATTAATGTTATATTTAAACTTTATTTAAAAATGAAAAACTGAACGTCTTCATTTTGTATATCACAACCATGAAACGCCGTTACGTTTACTTAACATAATAAACAAAAATAATCAGCACGTCTCCCCATTAGTAGAAATGGAATGTTTTTTTTTAATAATTCAAATCGGTTGATCCATGCGCCCGAAATCGTGGACGAAAAAAATGTATCCATACATACATTTAAGGTATGCCAAGATATTTAGAAACCAAAAAGTATAAAATATAATAATTTCAATATGTATTTAACATAATCAATACATTTTTAGAAATTTGTTTTCGCCCACAAAATCCGATTTTGTTTTCTTGACGTTTCAAGCCATTCTGAATCGAATGAAACCAAATTTGTAAAAAGTTTGTGAACCAAAATTTTACCTTTCGTCGACGTTTACTCTGTACTGAATTTAAAAATTTTAAATCCATCCGATAAAACATCATGAAGCTCGTGGTGATGGAAAGGATCGGCCTAACAGCTTCTTTATAATTAGCAGAAAAGTGCAAAATTTTATTCTGAATCGATTTTGAAAATTTGGGAACTTTTCAAAAGATAGTAGTTGAAATTTTTTTATTTAAAAAAATGTTTGATTTTTTTTTTTTTTAAAAATCAGTTAAAAAATAAATACACGGTGTTATCTTGCTATACCCCTCCCTCCCCAACGTGATTTTTTGTTAAAACCCCCCCTCCCCCTAAAAACCTCACGTGATTAATGGACGGGGGGGCGTTAATGAATAATAAGAAAGAAATAGCCCGACAATTTTTTTATCAACTTTTGTGTCAATGGCCTTTAGATTTAGTCTTAGATTAGCTTCAATATAACATTATCTTTTCAATTGTTAAACTAAGAAGATCTCACTGGAGTTCTTCTTAGACATCGCTCTCAAATATTGTCAATTTAGCTTATAGGAATCCTTATGTATTTCTGATTGCGGAATAAAACCGAGTTAAAAAAAAAAGCTTTTGTGTTAAAACTTTTTAGAATGACTCGAAATGTTGAGAAATCAAAATTCTGGACGAAAAGCAAAATTTTCTTCGGGAAGCTGAAAAATAAATTTATAAAACTACACGATAATAAATAAATACAATAAAATATTTGAAGTTACATTAATTGTTGATTTGCTATTTATTAGTAGTTGAAATATAAATATGTACATATGTATATAAAATTATATTTTTGATTGAAATATTTGCATCGTAATGAAGAGAAAGTTGTAATTAATGATATATATTTGAACGCATTGTAAATGCATTTATACCTTTATACATTATATATATATATATATATATATATATATATATATAATGATAAATTTTATTATGCGTGAATACCAAATTGCATAATTAGTTTCGCTCCA